GGATCAACAACAGGATCCCCTACTGTAGAGCTCCACGCTCTACAGTACAACCGCGCCTGTCCACGTGTACACCACGGGGACAAGGGACATGCGCATTCACGTGTACACGTGTACCACGCCCGAACGAGGCGCGCACGCACCACGGGTAATACGTGTACTGTCAGCCTCGACATAGCTGACAGTATTACAGTGCAGGCCGACCTGCACTACAGTAGCCCACTACAGTACCTCGGTACTGTAGTGTTATGATAGATTGTTTTGTATATTAAACATGGGGCGGACCGGCGGCGGTGGAGGAGGACAAGCACGGACTTGTCACCGACCGACCGTCAAGGTCCGACTTCCCGCTTATTCTAAGGTAACGCTCGCTAATTACCTTAGAAGCGGCACCGAGCAGTACGCCCACGAGCCGGCTCCGCCTCCGCCCGTCGGTACTGGATCGTTACCCAGTACCGCGCCGGGGCGTCGAGGCGTCGAACCGCTCGCGTGTACCGGCGTCCTCCCCGTCCCCGCTCTACCACGCTACCCGGGCCCGCTGCCCGGTGCCGTTAGCTGGTGTTCCGCTTCACCCCCGTCTTCCCGATCGACAAGGGTCTCGGTCGAACTGTGCATACACCCCTATCGCCGGGGGTGTTTATGCTACATTCGTCACGTTAACCTCGTCGGACTCATCGGAGGGATAGACGGCAGGTGGTTGCCCATACTCGGCGCGAACTGCCGTTGCAGCCACTTTGTTCACCGGTATCGTACGAACATCCTCAGGTTCGATTACTTTGCGTCGGCGTCCATGACCGCACACAACGGCGCCATCGTCCCGCACCGACTTTACAACATCCTCGACCCACTGTTCCCTGGGTCGGTTGCCACCGGGGACTAGTATGAGAACGTGATCCCCCTTCTTGATCAATCGCTCCGAGAGTCCTTTCGGTGCGGGGCGGGCTTTTATGACACGTGCTAGGAGTCTTCGGTTTTCTATTTCGGCATAAGCGTCCCGAAAGGACAAGGGGAGAGTTACCTTGCCAGATCCTGAGATACTTGGCGTGTAACCTCTAACAAGCTCGAATGCCGACGCGGTTCGGTTTCCGTACTGTAGCATAAACACCCCTAAACGGATAGGGGTGTATGCTTAGTCCTGGAAGACCCGTACGTACGAGAAGACGGGGGAAGTCAGACCAGCTAACGAAACCGAAGCACGGGCCCGGGTAGCGTGGTAGAGCGGGATCGGGGGGAGGACGCGCACACGCGCGGGCCGATCTACGCCTCGACGCCCCGGAGCAGCGCTGGGTTACGTTCCAGCGCTGACGGGCGGAGGTGGATCTAGGCTCGCTCGTGTGCTCGCGCGCCCTCTACCCGCGCTCGGTCTCGCCTTAAGGTAGCTAACGGAAGCTTCCTTAGGATAAGCTGGAAGTCAGACCTAGGCGGTCGGTCGTGGACAAGTCCGTGCTTGTCCCCCCCTTCGCCGCCGGTCCGCTCCGTTATTTAATATACAATTAGTCTAGCGTAACTTAGTACAGTACGTACTGTACTATGCGGTACTACAGTAGTCGGCACTGTCAGCGGACAGGGCTTACTGTATACGCGTCGTACACGTATGGTACACGTGGGGGCGCGTGCGCCCCTGCACGTGTGGTACAGGCTCTCTGTAAGGTCCGTACCTTACAGAGCCGGATCCAATTTCTTATCTAATCCTTTTGGTAGTTATACTACACGTACAAGACATTCAAGACGAACAGAGCGGCATGTAGCCGATCAACGATTGGTAGCTCTGCGAATGCCTCATCTTTCCCTAGGCGTTCGAGTGCATCCTTGACTACTATGTTTTTGCGTTCCACCGGCCCGGCCTTGTTATGTCGGCGAGCTGGCAAATCTCGGAAGCCAATTAAACTGGCCTTAGCCCATGATCGCATTTTACCCTTGTTGAATTCTTGGTCAGCCCAAAATTCAACCGGGTCGCCATGACGTAAAATCCAGATGTTCTCCAGCTGCCTGAGTATAAACGAAAGCTCATTCGATCCCAATAGACATGCTTCGGAGTATCCTGTGTAAAAATCGACGATATGCAAGAAGACATCCTCTCCCCAATAAAAGACGTCGAAGTAAACACGGTCATTGAAGCGGAGATGTATACGCGTATACATCTCCGGCAAGGAAATTCACGTTTAGTCGCGACTAAACGTGAATTTCCTTGCCGGATAGGCCTCCCCACTTTTTAGACAAACTCGACGCTTTCCCATGAGATTGTGGATCGCCTCATGAAGGGACGGGTGCCACTTCTTACTACGAGCCAATAAAACACGACACGTCTCAGGATGTATATGTGTGCGTGCATGAATGCGCTGCACCAGACGGGCAGAATCGGTCACAGGATCGACTTCCCCCTTCACTGTGGACCAGTTCAATCCGGATTCGAGCAGATTGAGCAACATGCTCTCGGCACTCAATGAAATCCTCGCATGATTGTCCCAATCGCTGAGGAACGTCCTCAGTGTAACAGTCCCACGATGGGGTATCGTCAGTTGCACTCAAGTGTCATGGTGGGACTCTATAGCTTTGTACTTGCAAAGAAAATCCTTGCCAATTGTAAAGGGAACCTCTCCATCGACGACCAGCACCGAGGCCGGCACGAAAGCGCCTCGACCGACCGGAATTGGTATCATTGCTCTGCCAATGATCGATTCCGGTGTGGAGTGGTTTTCTGTAGTACCGAAAGCGTGAGCCGTGGGCTCGCCATCGCTGAGTGGTTGTACCTCGACTTTAACACCGAGTTCATTGGCGAGTCCCACGTAGGTTGGCATACCGATCACACTCCCTTGCGCACCACCATCAATGAGAGCATAATGCACGTCATGCGGTTCCCCATTCGCAACCATTTTTTTCCAGTCGTTGCACCTGAATAAGTGGTCAGGGACATACCGGTGTTGATCACATCTGGTGCATCAGCACAAAAGACCTCAGAAAAATTAGTTTTCAATCGACTACTACCACTGGCAGTATCGCTCGAGGTTACGGGGGCTGCATCTCCGCCACCCCTGTGTGGGGTCTGTGACCTGCTGCCGCGGTTTGTAGAGTCTCCTTTTGCTCTCTCCTTTCGCTGGCGAGTCTTCTTACGAAGCTTCTCTTTGCAATTGGGATTTTCACTAGCGTAGTAATTCCCCCCACACTCCCAACAGACTACAGGCTTGCCCTTATTAGTCATCCTGGTGTAGGTTGTCCCGATTGGGTTATGACCTTGGCGCTGCTTGCCTTGCTCTCGAGACTCTCTTTTATTAGCGCCTTGTATCGCTAACTCACCTTGGTCGATACGGCGGAGCGCCACCCTGACAGACTCCGTAGAGGGCATCGCCTCGCGGCCATCCTGCTTCAGGTTTGCCCCATCAGTCCGAGCTCGGGTTACATCAGTACGACAAACTAATTCCGACAGCGACCCGAAATTGTCGCGGGCTCTTGTTTCCGATAGCTTTGCAGCAGCCAGTTTTCCGCGTAAAGTAGAGAGAGTCTCTAACGTTTCTTTCCCCAACGCGCTAGCGCTAATAGCAGCTGTCTCAGCTGATTCAGCCTGGTCAGAAGCGCTTTACAGCTTTGAAGCGAACTCAGAGAGCTTCTCTTCTGCCAATTGGATTCTCCTGAGGGTGTAATCGATCTCGATCTGACTAAAAGCCACCAGTTCCGTGCCATCGGCTCGGGTATCGGCCAACCCAACACCCGAGCTGTCACCTGTCACCATACCTGCATCTCCAGCACCCTGAGTGCCAGTACGGCTTTGAGCCTCATGAGTCGTTGTATCCGATGATTCGGCGCGATATATTCTTGAGCGTGAAAGCTGACTAAAAGTGTCGCGCACACTACGAATGGGAACCACTTGGGTGGTTAAGCGCCTACCTTCCTCTGTATTCTCCATAGTTGTTACATATGACTTATGATGCCTCATAGCGTGGTCCAGTACCACACCAAACTCTGGACGCGGTAAATTTGCATGGATGATGCAATTAAGTGATAGCAACTCTTGCACTCCAGCAGAATTTGCAACATCGCCATGAGCCTGGGCGTACTTGTAACATAGCGAGCTATATTCGGACCAATATTTATCATAGGTCTGATTGGTTCCATGACGTTTTGCCATTAAGTCCCTCCATCTCTGAGCAGTTTCCAGGAAGGATGCCCCCCCGGTCTATCGGATCGATCTTATCCAGTAGTTCTTCGACCAACAACACAAACTCTTGTTCCGTAAGAGAAGCCGATATGCCTCCCCTAATAGACTCGAGTCGTTGACCAGCGCTACCTCTGACATTTGTGATAATTGTGAGAAGTTGCTGTCCGTATGAGAGCTTCTTCTCCTTGTTAGTCGTGAGCTCTTGATAGGATATCCAGTCCAATAGCAAACGACGATATAGTCTTGGGTTACTCGACTCATAGAACACCGGAACCTCTCCCGGCTTCACAGTCTTGTAATTCCCATCCAGTTTACCTCCACCTGGGCCCATAACTATGGGCGGCGATGACGGTAGCGGCGAGAGTTCGCAAGGTCCAATCGATGGAATGCTACTCGGGGACAGTTCCCACCAATAGGCAGGCGTGTGGAGCACCGTAGTCCAAATAACCAGCGTGGGAATGCCCGTGTGCTAGCGTTTCGCAATCTCCTTTCGAGGGTTCAAGTGGCCATTCGTGGCCTAACCTTTATTGTACTGTACTCAGTTCAGTGAAGACCGTTTAGTCGCCTTCCCCTCTCCCTTCTTCCTTCTTTCCTCCTTCGTCTCTGGCCAACCCCCCCTTATCTCGTTCCAGGGAATCAACCCTGCGCTTGCCCATTTAGGACTTGCACCTCCGAGCAGCCCAATCTATTCTGGGTAGGAAGAATGACAATTACTATCCCCAATTAAAGTACTAGATGCTTAATGTTGCCAGCCAACACGTGGCAAATTGGCCTCCCTTCAACACCACGACAACTCTTCTCACTCTGCGTCCTTTGGTACCCGCATCTCACCCCCGAAAGCCCCCCTGCCATGGGCGTAACTCGCCGCCTAACGCGAACGGTTGTCCGCCAATCTCGAAAGCTCTCTCGTAAAGTACGTACGTACCGTATGTACGATACTCGTACAATCCCCTATCCCGGTACCATCCGTTTACTAACCCTATGTCCAGCTTCTGCATCGGTCTCCCCTCTTTGGCCACCACAAAACCTCCGCTAATGTGGCCAATCTCCCGCCGCCAAACTGCCCAGCCCTCGAACGCCAAGTTCTCTCTCTCGTCAACAGCACGCGTAAGTCGCGGAACCTGCGCTCTCTCTCTCTACATACCTCCCTGACTTCCGCCGCCAAGGATCACTCACTCGACCAGGCGCGACGTCGCAAAATGACACACAAGGGCAGGGATGGTTCCACTGTGTCGCACCGCATCACGAAACGGGGCTACAATTATCGCTATGCTGCGGAGAATGTCGCGTATGGGCAAAGCTCGTCGCAGAGGGTCTTTGACATGTGGATGCACAGCAGAGGACATAGAAAGAATATTTTGAATGACAGGGTCCGCCATATGGGGGTTTACGCGGCGAGGGGAAGGAATGGTAAACTGTATTGGACACAAGTTTTTGGTACTTTGCGGTAGCTGCCGGGCGTAGCAGTGCACTCCGCCGTCTTCTTTGTAGCTACACAGGGGAAGGTGGCCTGTGGGGAAGCCTTTTAACGCTCCCCCATCATCGTCCGCGAAATAACGGTGTCTGCAAGGAAATCAAATCTTTGATTCGAAGTTGCGGGGTACTTACTACCGCTCTGAACGAATGTGCACAACGCGAGTTGAGACTTTGGACCAGAACTTTGGGGGCATATTCTTCAGAGAACGTTGCACATCTGGAAGCCTCGCTCCAACTGCTGTCTCAAAGTATCGCTGGTGTGATGAAATGACTAGTGAATGCCTTAGCCGTCTTGGAGGATATGTCTGTGCATGGCATATTTGTCTTGTTCGGTGTCGGTGGCCGTTTGCATCAAGAGTTGACACGATTTTTCTGGACAGCTGGCAGCACTCTGGTGGATGTCACGGATGGACTCAACCATGAACTTGAGACGCTTCAACCAACGACACACTGGCCGTATTTTCTTATACTACACTACCCTTGGGTAGTTGATTTTGAACTGTATCGATGAGGATATTGCGTAATGAAAGGATTCAATGAAGCTCGTAGGTATGCACGCCAGAATATGATGATGCACGCGATTCAATTTAAAATGTATTTATCCACAATCACCTTGCAAGTTCTTGCAGCGATGCCGCAGGGAAAGTGCCGCAGGGGAAGGCGTACAAATGTGAGCCCCGAGAAGATAGACCCACACATCGGGAACGACGGGGGCCGACCGGAGATGAGGGTGCGAGAGAAGAAGATTTTATAGTGTAGTTGAGGTCGGATGATATGGATACAATAAATGTGAGCTCCGAGAAGATAGACCCACACATCGGGAACGATGCGGGCCGACTGGAGATGAGCAGTGAGGGTGCGAGAGAGGAAGTTTTTATGGCGTGGTCGAGGTGGGATGATATGGATACAATATATGTGACACGTGGCACGAAGCAGTCAATTTCGGGGACGGAGGCGAGGCGAAGCGAGGCGTGGACGGCGAGGCATGTCGGGATGTGACGACGTGGCGGCGATCGCCGTATAACTGCAGGGAGGCAGATGTCCCTCGCGCTGTTTCAAAAGTTAAGAGTGCAGCGAGCCCCCTCGATCGAGGTGGCAGTAGCCCCATCGCCTCACAACCCGCCGGCGTCGTCGGCAATGGCCTCGCGCCTCGCAAACGTGTACTCGAGCCTGGTGCGGACGATGAGCTTGAAGCCCAGGGCGGCCATCTTCTGGACGGCGTTCGGGACCATGTTGCGGTAGCCGGGCTGCTTCCAGAAGTAGCGCTCGTGAAACTCGACAAGCACCTGGTCGGCCGGCGGGCGGTAGTTGGCGCGGGCCCACTGGTCGATAACGTCAAACTCGGCACCCTCGATGTCCATCTTGAGGATGGCGAGGTGGCGGTGCTTCATGCGGCGCATCATGCTGCGCACGGTCAAAATCGGGACCTCCATGACGGTGCCCAGCTGCGGCTCGTTGGGGTGTGCCATAACGGTATAGCTGTCATGGTTGCCATAGGGGAGCTTGAGGGTGAGGTTGCCGTCGTGCGGGCCGAGGCCGATTCGGTGAAAATGAAACTTATTCGGAAGGGCATGCCTCCGGAAGAAATCCAGGGCGGTAGGGGTAGGGTCCCAGCCGTGGTGTTCCGTGTCGTACAAGGCGATGATGTTCTTATCCCACTCGATGTTCCGTCCGATACCGACCGTGTACACGAGGCCGCCCTGGATGCTCCATCTGGACGGAAGACACAACTGCCAGCTGCCCGGGGCGCCGCCCAGGCGGACGGGGGTTCGGCACGCGAGGACGCGGTTGCGCACGAGCAGGCGGCGCAGGCCCAGGCGCGAGATGACGT